TTCTTCTTCTTCTTCTTCTTCTTCTTCTTCTTCTTCTTCTTCTTCTTCTTCTTCTTCTTCTTCTTCTTCTCCTCCTCCTCCTCCTCCTCCTCCTCCTCCTCCTCCTCCTCCTCCTCCTCCTCCTCCTCCTCCTCCTCCTTAAGATTGGGCATCAGTCATGAAGGATACACCTTAGAGATGAATTTGAAGGGTATTTCTGCATTTGAAGGAGAAAGAACACAGAGTTTGTAGAGAGGGCATCACTTTTTTATGGACCTGAGCAATTAAGAGGCCCCTTGTTCCTTCAAAGTCTGAGAGTTGCATATAGCATACTTTTTACGATTCTTCAAATGTCTAGGTAGATCTAAGGAGCCATGCTCTACGTGCATTATTTCAAACATACTTCTGGGCCCTGGTGCAGATATGAGTGCTCTTATAAGGTACAGCAGAACTTCTTTCTTGAAAGAAACTGGAGATATTGATCTGGTGATGGGGTTGGAGGTTTTCAGTCCAAAAAGGACTACAAATCCTGGCTACAATGTACTGGACACAAGTGGCCGTAGAGGAGTTTATAATTTCCTCTTCAGGTTGATATATCATGTAAGACAACTGCCTCGAAAACAAAGAGACCCGGGCTGAATATGGTAGTGAATGAAATCCTGAGGGTTTAAGTCCAGCCTGGTCTACATAGTGAGTGCCAGGCCAATGAGGGCTTCATAGGGAGACCTTGTCTTGAACAAAACAAAACAAAACAAATAATACAACAAAGAGACCCACCGCTGAGAGCCTCCCTCAATCGACTATGGAAACCACTGTAAGCTAGCAACATCCTGACTGGAGCATGGAATGAAGGCATAGCATTTTTCAGAAGGTAGTAATGACTATCCCACTAAATTGACCTTGTGTGGACTCAAAGGAGGATAAAGATTTGTCTTCTACCAAATTAATATTTCGTTTGTCTGGAAAATAACCACACAGCACTCAGGGAAATTAGTTAAGGAAAATAACCCCATGCACACCTCCAGCTGAGTCTCTGACTGGCAGCATAAGTAGCAAAGGAGACACGGAAATGACACACATTCAGAAACCACTACCCTAAAGGAGCTGATGTGCGGAAGCATAGCTGAGCTCGTGTGCAGTAAGTGATAGGAGTAGACACGAGCGGGAATGAGTGAAGTGTACAGTTATGGAATTAGGAGAGAAAGGGACAGCCTACATCCTCAAAGAAGCAGGAAATTCTGCGGTCTCAACCCAAGAAGGTGAGTCTATATCTTATCAGTACTAAGATGAAAATAGTTAACATGCCACTGGGCTTTTGATCTGGGTTCTGCTTATCTTATCTCTTTGGCTCTTTCTTGTAATATACGGGAAGCATCTAGATGAGAAACAGAACACAGCGTAGAAAATAGGCAATATTTATTATAAAGTGCACTCAAAGGGGGTGAGTGGCTACAGTGGCCAGAGAGACTAACATCATAATCTGCACCCTAGGGAGACTTTTATACTACTTTTTTGAGGGATTTCTAGAACAAACATCTTTTCCTGAGGTGTGTTGCCTTGTTCAGGTGATTAAACAATCACAAGACTTTGTTTAGATTGCTTCTTGAACAGAAGGGCACAGTGGTGTCTTTGTTCTTGATTAGAAGGCTTCCTGCTGTCTGATAATGTTACAAGGGTTAAGGCTCAGAGTCAGGTTAATAGTTATGTATTAACGACTTGAGTTATCATATTTTCCTGGGCTCGGAGATATCACTCTCTCCTGATCAGGAAGGTTTTAATCTTCTAGTCTTTATTTTATAGGATGTTGACATTTTAAGAGGGACTCATCGCTGGTGTTCTCCATACCTGCTCATAACTAGCTACTTAACAGCATGGCTCAAAGTGAAACATTAGAAACAGAAATTGGGAAGTCTATCAGTTTCCAAAGTCGTTCTGCTCACTACATATCTGGCAATTAATTCATTTTCCCTGTATTAAATTGAATGGTTCTTGGGCCATACATTGACAGCACATACTTTGGTGACTCAGTATTTGCCAGCCCCATTCCTTCTTGAGACACCATCTCTTCCCTATTGTGTGAGCTGCCCTATGGGCATAATAAGCCCAAATACATGGAGTTTTACTGCAAAAGTCAGGATTGTGGACACATTTTCCTTGTGTTCCCATTCTGGATGTAGAACAGGTGGAGGACTCTCAGCTCAGCTACGCAGTCACCCTCTCTATGCAGCTGCCGAGTGTACCAACACAAGGACCAAGGAAAAGCTTTCTCCTTTTTGCAGCTGGCTCAGCCAGCAGCTAAGTAGTGAATGTCAGTATCTGGTGCTAAAACCAGAGCATGGTAATTCAGGTAAGATGAAACAGGTGAATGCCAGATTATTTCTGCTGATGATCCTGTGATCTGTATATGTCATACAACATATATTTTACCTATGAAATGTGAATGACATTTAGATATGGCTTCTTGTAACTGTTATGAGTCGAAATCATTTCTGTGAAGAAATGCAGCAGGAATACTGGAGTTAATGGTTTTTGAAATCATAATTCATGATAAGGATATTTAAAAATTATGCACACACAGTCACTTTAAAAACATGTTTCATACTGACATGATGATTTGAACTTTGGTTCTGTCAGCTTTATGTCATCTGAAATTTTACCTAGTTTGTCAATCTTAGTTTTCAAACTGATCTGGAGTTTTCCAGAGCTCTGTGAATGATATAGTCCAGGGCACATTTTAATCTGGCATGTTTCATATGCTTTATTTGAAACATAGGAATGTCATTTGCGATCTTTGATCTTACATAGTTTACTCATTTCTCATCAATATGTTAAGAAGTAGTTTCTGCAATTTTCTTTTAATTCCTCAGCATATTTGCCTTCCATCTACTTGAACACATCTCTGTGCTTTCAGGTGCATACATACTATAAAGTTTAAGACTGTGTATTCTCTTTTGAGAATTAAAGAACAGTGCTTTCTAGTTTCATTCTTCAAAGGTAAATACCAATGAACATGCATAACTATAGTTTTGAACTATAATATGGCAGTTCTACCCTGGGGAAGACTATATCTCTGACTCTCAGCATTCTTTAGTTGCCTGTGGTTCTTTATTTAGGGTTGAGGCTCTGATAGCTTTCACTCTCTCATGTTAGCATGTCTAGGTATCATCCTTGCTCAGGTCTTTTTGAGGCAGCCGTGTTAATGGGACTTCATGAGTGTAGCGTCTCTGACATTTCTAGGAGCTTAAAGCTCCCAGCAAACTTCCTGTTTCTCTGACTCTTCCAATCTTTCTGGCCCCTGATCTGCTTTGATTCTTTTTATCCAGTTAGATATCTATGTTATCCAAGTGGTCAGCATTAAAATCATATACATACAAATAACATTACATGAGCTGACAGGTTGTACTTAATATATTTATGATTAAAGAAAAATGAAGTCATCAGTTTTCAGTAGAGCAAGGGTGGTGCCTGGAGAAAACTGGAGGAAGGAAGGGGGAGGGAGAAATGTTGTAATTATATTTTAATTTAAAAATATGTTAAAAAATAAAAAAGTGAATAAAATTTATTTCTACCTCAAACTTTTCCTGGGAAGTACTTTATAGAATTAAGTTCACTAAACACCCGAGATAGTCATAGAAATTATGCGACTTCAGTCGTTCTGAAAAGTCATTTTCCTGTAATACTTCCTAATCTGAGTAAACTTTATAAAATTTCTCCAGTAAGTCTATAGAGAGATACATAGAACAGTTTACCATGAAGAGGTCTCAACTGGGGTAGCAGATGGAGATTCTTTAAGACTATATTGTCATACATGATTTGGTATAGGGGACTGTAGGCAGACAGAAAGGTACCAGGATGCCTGGCTGCTACTCAGCAGCCTTTGTACGAAGGCTGCTGTCTCTAGATGGGGACAGATAACTGACTAATGTGAATGTCAGTTTTGAGATTTTACAAATTTATGGGCACTAAAATATCTTGGAATCTGGACAGCTCAATTCTTAGATGATTTTTCTTCATTCTGGCAGAATTTGTGTCAATCAAAATGTGAATCAGGTACAGTGATGTGACTTTACACAAGAGTTTGAGGGCTAGGGTGTATATTCAGCAGGGAATACAGTGTCAGGAACAAAAATCAACATGAATCTCACACTCACTGTGTTCAGATGACTAGACAGAAGAGTCTCCTAGAGAGAGAGAGAGAGAGAGAGAGAGAGAGAGAGAGAGAGAGAAACAAAGAGAAAGAGCAAGAGAGCAAGAGACAAAGATTTGGATTATTTCATGTAATTGTTATGTGATTATCGCGGCTGAGGGATCTATCTGGAGGTGTAGCTCACTGGCAGAGGACACGTTTAGCGCAAGAGCCTCCAAGTTCACTTCCTAGCAACCTTAAAAGAAAACCAAAAGAATAAAAGAGAAGAGAAATCCCACCATGGATTTAGTAAATTGGATCCCTGGATAGCCATGGATGTAAGCTCCAGGGCAAATGTGTAGACCTAAGTTTTTGAGAGCCAGCAATGTAAGTCTGAGACTAAAGCCAGACTAATGTTCCAGCTAAAATATTCCTTTTCCTCAGTCTTTTTCTAGTCAGGTCATCGTATGATTGGATGGGGGGGGGGGGCATCTTCAACAAATGGTGCTCGTCTAACTGGATATCTACATGTAAAAAAAAATGTAAATAGATCCATCCTTATCACCCTGCACAAAACTAAAGTCTAAGTGGATCAAAGACCTCAACATAAAACCAGACACACTAAACTTGTTAGAAGAAAAAGTGGGGAAGAGCCTTGAACTCATTGGCACAGGAGACAACTTCCTGAACAGAACACCAACAGCACAGGTTCAAAGAGCAACAATCAATAAATGAGACCTCATGAAAATCAGGCTGTGCATTAGGAAGGACAATTTTTCTCTACCAGTCTCAGTACATGTCAGTATTACTTAGAAACATCTTCACAAATACAGTAAAAATAATGTTGGGCCAAATATCTTAGCATCCTATGACCAGGACAGGTTAATATAAAGTTAATGAATAAAGGATGAAAATTAGTTATTTAGTACTTATTTATATCTAGTAAGTAGTGCACAGGGAAAAACTCTCCTCTGCTCCCTTCTAAGCCTTTGTGAAGAATATATTTTCCTGTCCCAGTACTTGGCAGTCAAGTATTCTCTGGCCTTTCCTCCTACCTTGCCTTTTAAAATGACCCTGAATTCCTCTACTATGATAATCACTTAGACTGATTTGTCTAAGTCTCTGAACTTCCCTTTCACTTCTTGGTGACCTTTAACAGCATATAAGGCCTTGGGTTTAAGAGGGACACAGACATATTTTCCCTTTTTGGAGTAAAAAGTTTATTAAGAAGTTATTAATGCCATACAAGATGACATAGCAGGAGTTCTCAAGAGAATTCAAGTGCACGAAGCAGAGTGTTTGTTGAGGTCCCTTCTAACAGGTGTCAGTGTTGAGGTAGGAAGGTCCCATGCCGTGAAGTTGGTGAGTAACCTGCAGCAATCTTTGCAGTGAGGTTGTCTCTGATTTCAGGGTACCAGGGATAAGGGGCATGGGTCATTTATTCCAGATGTCCAGCCTGAAGCCTCCAATATCTTAGAATGCTTGTTTAATTTCTTTTATGGAAATGGGAATTACATACTCACTGATACCCATAATATGGTGGCTATCACTTATTATACTACAGTGAGAGAGAGAAAAAACAAAACAAAACAAAACAAAACAAAACAAAACAAAACAAAACATTTGCTGCAGAGGAGCAAGGCCTGAGTAGCCCCCAGCCCAAAGCTAACAAATAAGGTTAAACATGTCATCAGGTGAACTCTATAGAACTAGTGCTCTGTCTCTAATCTGATCAGATCAGATGAGTTTAGCTAAAATACAGCCCCCACACAGTGGGGCTAAAATACAGTCCCTCTCCAGTGACATACATCCTCCAAGGCCACACCCCCTAATCTTTCTGAAACAGTCCACCAGCTGGGAATCAAAGCCTCAAATGTGTGAGCCTATGGAGACCATTCTGATTTAAGCCACCCTAACGGTGAAGGCCTATTTTTCCAAAGATACCCTTTTCCTGATCATCTTCTCTTTTCCCAGAGTTGTGAATTTCCCCTTTGTTCTAGAGACACAGAGAAACATAATTTAATATGGCCACACTAGTCTACCACTATCCCCCAAATAAAATAGTTTTTATTTCTTCTAAATATTTTAATGATTTCTTGATCTACCACAAGTGATTTGACCATAGAGACGGGTAAATTTTTGAGAGCCAGCATGATCAGTTATGACTGTGTAATGACAATTTAAATGGTTAAAATCAATTGCTCTCCTATTTATCCTTGGAGCCTTGGACTGGAGAGAGGAGGCATTCAACAGATACCCACAGCCCCCACATCATCACTCTGTAAAAGGGTGAGCTTTACTGAATTTAAAGGTCAGTGACACAGTGTCCTGTTACCGTTGAGGACCCACCTCTGAAATCAGCCCTGCAAGAATTTTCTCATTTAAAAGGACTCCTTTGTGCAAAAAGTTTCCTTTGGCGCTAATCAGAAATTTAATTTATTCGGAGATAAGAAAAGAGACGATCTTAACTACTCTGATGTGAGGGATCTGAAGAAATTAGGAGTGAGCAAGATAAATATCAGAGTGTCAGCACTACACACATTTCCTAATGGATAAGATCTTTGCTTCTGTTATTTTAATTTTCTCTGCATGGAATCAGATAACCTACGTGACTTTAATAATGATGATGCGAAGTTGCCAGCTCTCTAGGTCTCAGGAAAAGGCCTAAATGACTTTGAATTTTACTCACTCTAAGAGAAACAGAGGCATTTGCTCATTCATTCATTCATTCATTCATTCATTCATTCATTCATTCATCCATCCATTTTCCACTCACTATCCTACTCATTCATTTGTGAATTCTGTTAGGTAAATATGTGTTATGATGGTTTATGAATATGAAAAGACAAGAAAGGTTCCAGAGTACATGGCAGAGCAGAAAAAATACATGTGACTGTAGTGACAGAAAGGCACCAGGGCCTAGCAGATTAGTGCTTTCATAGTAATGTCTGGAGTCTTTTATAGAGAAGACTCCTAGCTGGGATTTGGAGAATGAAAAGGTTATTCTCACTTTAGATGGGAAGAGCATTTAAGACAGAGAGAATGAATACCTAAAGAAGGGTTAGAAACGAGAACTAACAGCATCCTTCCTGAGAATTGTACGGTATGGCTTTCATCATAGGGTTTATCACTGGATGAGGCCAGAGAAACAAGCGAGAGCTGGATATGTGACGTGTTTAGATATGTGGGCTTGATTATTTATAGAGGACATGTTCTAATTT